TCCTGCATTGCCAAGTGAGCTGTTCAAGTCCCAGACCCAGTGGCTTTAGACACGTGCACATGTGTCTAAAATTCTGACAAGAGGGAGAAACAGAGGAGATGGGATTAGGGTATGACCATCCCCCTATGGATGGGTGCTTACTTACTTTCCCTCTCTCTCTCTCTGTCTATCTCTCTCAGTGAGTGCATGCACCCTCTGGCAAATTTAAAACAAAATAAAAGATCTGTCTCCTTCCCTCTCTCTCTCACTCTCAAAAAAAAAAAAAAAGAAAGAAAAATTAAATATATCACTGGGGAGAGAAATAAGATAATAAATATAAGATACGAAGCATTTTAATCCTGCACGTCGTAAGTGCTTGATAGACTTTGAGCACTCCTTTGCAGTTGGAAACAGTAGCAGCAGACAGACCTGTACCCCCCTCCCTAGTTCCATCCCAGGGGGGTGAAAGCCCTGGCCTCCTCAGGGACTCCCTTTGTTAGCAGTTCAACCTCTTATGGTGAGAGTCGTGGCCGGCCTAGGAGGGATGATTGGAAGGGAGGTGGAATATGCCTGTCTGCCCTGGGGAGGGGCTGTGCATGTGTGGGCACCCACCTGTGCATGTATGGATGGTGGGCAGAGGGGCCATGAGGTTGTGTGCACCCCTGAGGCTACTGTATGCTGTGTGTCCTCTCCCCACCCCCAGCTATGACCGCAGCACCCTAGTGGCCCTTGTGGTGGGCGTGGGGCGCCTCATCACTGGCATGGACCGAGGCCTCATGGGCATGTGTGTCAACGAGCGGCGACGCCTCATCGTGCCTCCCCACCTGGGCTACGGCAGCATCGGCGTGGGTGAGAAGAGGAGACCACACGCATGGAGATGGAGGAGACCAGGAGGCAGAGTCAGGGAGCCCAGGGTCAGAAAGCCGAGGCCCAGAGAGGGACATGGCTTGCCCGAGCTCACACTGCATGTGTGAGTACAGCGGCCATGCTGCACCCAGAGGAGCAGGGCCCTGGGCGGGGTCTGTCTTGACTAGGAGGGAGCAGAATAGAGGTGGTAGAGAGGGAGGTAAGTGGAATCTTAGTCCCCCACACCACCCCCCACCCTAGGGGTGGCCCCAGACATGAGCGCCCACTGCCTTGCCCTCGCAGCGGGGCTCATTCCCCCCGATGCCACCCTCTACTTTGACGTGGTCCTGCTGGACGTGTGGAACAAGGAAGACACCGTCCAGGTGAGCATCTTGCTGCGCCCACCCTACTGCCCCCGCATGGTCCAGGACAGCGACTTTGTCCGCTACCACTACAATGGCACTCTGCTGGATGGCACCACCTTCGACACCAGGTAAGGGCCCGGAGGAGCCCTGAGGTGCTGGGGACTGTGCCCTAGAGGGTGTCGGGGCCCACATTCTCTTCCTTCTCTACCTCGTTCTCTGCAGCTACAGTCGGGGCGGCACTTATGACACCTATGTGGGCTCTGGTTGGCTGATCAAGGGCATGGACCAGGGGCTGCTGGGCATGTGTCCTGGAGAAAGAAGGAAGATCATCATCCCCCCTTTCCTGGCCTATGGCGAGAAAGGCTACGGTGAGGACAGGCAGGCACTCGGGCGAATTCTTCTAAAGAGAGAAAAGCGGGGCTCGACGTACTGCTGTTCAGGTTGTGTACTGCACAAGGGCATCCAGCCAAGGAGGCGAGTAGACATGAAATCGAAGCCTTGGCAATTGGCTTGCGAAGAAGGGGTGCTTTATTCTGATTTACACAAAGACTTACTATGGGCTGGAGGAGGCCCTGGGGCAAACCCAGCTCAGGCCTCACTGGAGAAACAGGAATAGGGTTGCCATGGGAGAGGAGCTCTGAAGAGCAGGGTTGGTGTCTTTGCCTGGCGCCCACCTGGGCCTTCCTGAGTCAAGGACGGAGATCCGTTTGCTCCCACTTGTATGGCTCGAGCCTTATCCCTTCCCTAGGGACGGTGATTCCCCCGCAAGCCTCCCTGGTCTTCCATGTCCTGTTGATCGATGTCCACAACCCGAAGGACACTGTCCAGCTGGAGACGCTGGAGCTACCCTTGGGCTGCGTCCGGAGAGCCGTGGCCGGGGACTTCATGCGCTACCACTACAACGGCTCATTGATGGACGGCTCCCTCTTTGACTCCAGGTCCGGGGAGTCCCGAGGGGGAGGGTGGGGCTGGGGGAAGCATGGAAGATGCTGAGGCATGAAGGAGAATCCCAGATGCTGGAGTCACCCCAGGCAGCAGGGAGTAAGGGGGTCACTCTGAGCTGCCTGGAAGGAGGAGGGCCCCCTTTGACTCCTCTCCTGGCCCTCCCCGCCTTGTGTTGCAGCTACTCCCGCAACCACACCTACAATACCTATGTCGGGCAGGGTTACATCATCCCCGGGATGGACCAGGGGCTGCAGGGCGCCTGCATAGGGGAGCGCCGGAGAATCACCATCCCCCCACACCTCGCCTATGGGGAGAACGGAACTGGTAGGGTTGTTCCTGAGGCCCCCACTTTGGCTCCATCCCTTTCTTTTTATTTATTTATTTATTTATTTATTTATTTATTTTTGAGAGGTTTTCTCTATAGGGTGCATGCGCTTGCCAGACAGACAGAGAGACAGAAAGCAAGAAATCACCCCCCAGGGGGGATGGCCACGCCGCAATCCCTTCTCCTCCCTTCTCCTCACAGGATCTTGGTCACACACACACACATGCCCGGCGTGAGTTTTAAGCCACCAGGTCCAGGATGCGAACCGCGGTCGACCACGTGGGAGTCCAGCGACATAGCCATTACGCTAACTGCTGGTTCCCAGGCTCCATCCCTTTCATCACAAAGAGCCATCCGATCCCTGTCACATGACTCCATCCATTCTCTCCAGGGCAGTGCCCCATCCCTTCGCTCCATAGTGAGAAGAGCAGCCAGTGCCAGAGCTTGGGGGGAGGGTGGTTATGGAAGAACAGAACCCGCATAGCCCTAGGAAGCAGAGACCCGGATGTGAGACCCACTGTGCTCTCCCTGTGAAATGGAACTGATCTTAGGGAAAAGCAGGGTGAGTCGCTAGGAGTCTGCAAGATGGTGAGTGGAGAAGGGCCCTCTACGATGCTTCTCCCCTGCGCTGCCCCCTCATCCTCTAAGGACGTAAGAAGTGAGGCCAGCCCTGTAGCATGGCAGTAGGCACTGCCCAGAGGAAGCCAGATCCCACATGGCCAACCACAGTCTCAGCCCCAGTGGCTTAAAAAACATGCCAGGCATACATGGACCCAGGATCCTGACGGGATAAAGAGCTGGAGGGAAAAGATCTGTAGTGTGATCAGCCTCTAGGGGGCAGTACTTTCTCTTTTTCCTCTCATGCGCACTCTCTTCTGTCATTTACAACAATAAAAAAAAAGTGGGGCAGCTGGTGGCATGGTGGTTGAGGCTCTGGCCTCCCACATGGCCAGCTGCAGTTTGGGTCCAGAACCTGGAGCTTGAAAATCATGCCAGGAGCACACCCACGCAATGCCCATAATCCTAGGAGGAGAATGGAGGAGAAGGGATTGTGGCATGGCATGCCCTCGGGACTGATTTCTCCCTTTTCCTCTCACTTTCTCTGTCTCTTTTCTGTGAGTGCTTGTGCCCTATGGCAAAAACTTAAAAATTAAAAAAAGGACTCAATGAACATCCCATTCCATCATCGAGGCCCAGGGCAGGAAGGGGCACTGGGTCCAGGGCCTCTTGGAGACCTCCAGTGGCCTCTCCTAGAACCTCAAGCCAACACACTCCCCTCTTCTGGCCTCAGGAGACAAGATCCCTGGCTCCGCCGTGCTAATCTTCAACGTCCACGTCATCGACTTCCACAACCCTGCGGATCCGGTGGAAATCAAGACACTGTCACGACCCGCTGAGGCCTGCAACGAGACTGCCAAGCTCGGGGACTTTGTTCGTTACCACTACAACTGCTCTCTGCTGGACGGCACCAAGCTGTTCTCCTCGTGGGTCCAGGGCAGGGCCAGGGCTGGGCAGGTGGGTGGGCACAGGCGTGGGTGGGCACAGGCATGGGCGACTCCTCGAGCACCTCCAACACCTGTCTTCCTCTGGGTCACCCAGTCTCTGGTGGAGCACTCAGACTCTTGTTTCCTCTGAAAATGGAAGGAGATGGCATTCTTTTCTCTGTGGGGCAGGGGTCCACAGCCCTGGGCCACGGACTGGTACTGGTCTGTGGCCTGTTAGGAGCTGGGCCACAGAGCAGAGGTGAGCGGAGGGCAAGTGAGCGAAGCTGCACCTGCACGCACAGCCCCTCGGTGCCCACATTCCGTGAGTGCCACGCCCCTCGTTAGATTCTCGTAGGAGCACCACTGCTATTGTGACTGTGTGCCCAAGGGACCTAGAGGGACCTAGGGCACGTTCTTTCATAAACCACCCCACCCTGCCACCCGCCCCCTATCCATGGGAAGATTGTCTTCCACAAACTCCGTCCCTCGTGGCCAAAAGGCTGGGAGCACTGCTCTGGGGGATGAGAAGGGGGAGTTCGCAGTAGGGAGAGTAGGGAGGAGCTGCTATTTCCACTTGAGGGAGGGAATCTGAAACAGGAGAGATGAACCTCAGGGCCACACTTGGGGGCAGTGGCAAGGTAAAGTCTACACTTCGTGGCACAGGTGGGCACCGGGGTGGAGGGCTTGTCCTGGGTCTGCCTTGGGGAGGTTGGGGTGTGAACTGGCAGGGGACAAGAACTGGCACTGACCTGGAAATCTGTTCTCTCCCAGGCATGACTATGGGGCCCCCCAGGAGGCCACACTGGGGGCCAACAAGGTGATCCAGGGCCTGGACACGGGCCTACAGGGCATGTGTGTGGGGGAGAGGCGGCAGCTGGTCGTGCCCCCGCACCTGGCGCATGGGGAGAGCGGAGGTGAGGGGCAGAGACAGCCGGGTCTGACTGGCATTCCACACTGTTCACCCTGGCCCATCTAGGGCCTCGATGTCTGGCGGGAGGAGTCAGGGATGGTTCTACAAACATCCCAGCCCCACTCTCTAGCCCCTGAGAGGGGAAACAGACCTGGGGCCGAGGAGGACACTAGGACCCTCTCTCCTCTTCTCCCTCCCTCCAGCCCGGGGTGTCCCTGGCAGTGCCGTGCTGCTGTTTGAGGTGGAGCTGGTGTCCCGGGAGGATGGGCTACCCACAGGTTACCTGTTTGTGTGGCATGAGGACCCTCCTGCCAACCTGTTTGAAGACATGGACCTCAACAAGGATGGCGAGGTGCCCCCGGAAGAGGTGGGTGCAGAGCGCAATCCTAACCACGCCCACACCCACCTGACCAGAATGCCAGCCTGCGTGGTGCAATGGCAAGGACACGGTGCATGGCCACTGTCCCTCCTGCCTTCCCCTGCTCCTGTGTGCCTGCCACCATGCCGAGTTACATGCCTGAGGACACTTGCCCGTGGCACAGTGCAGCCTGTCCCCCTGCCATGCCCTCCATGCTGGCCTCAACACCAGCTCCTCTCTCCAGCTCCTCACTGACTTGGGGAAGGGGTGGGACTCACTGATTCCACCTAGGGCCCTTCTCGAGGCCACCCACAGCTGCTCAGCCATGATCTTCACTTCCCTCCTCCTCTGGGTCTCCCCTCCCTCAGTTCTCCACCTTCATCAAGACTCAAGTGAGTGAAGGCAAAGGCCGCCTCATGCCTGGACAGGACCCTGAGAAAACCATAGCGGACATGTTCCAGAACCAGGACCGCAACCAGGACGGCAAGATCACAGTCGAGGAGCTCAAGCTGAAGTCAGATGAAGACCAGGAGCGGGTCCACGAGGAGCTCTGACCGACCTGCAGGAAGCCTGGGTCTGGCTGCAGACACAAAGGCTCCTGCTGGGGGGACAGTGGCAGGGGCACCCCTCTGCTAGGATAGCCTCTGGGAGCCATCTGCAAAGTTGTCAGAAACAGCTCTGGTCTTTCCACTGGCTCTAGATTACAATCCACAGCATAGACCTCTGTTCCATTTTTCTCTTCCAGCTCCAGATCTCTTCCTTGCAATGGTTGGGGTTGCGAAGCCATTTCCTCCAGTCATTTCACCCTCATATGGGGATGGTAGTCTGAGGTTGGATGACACTAGACTTCACTGACACTCAGCAAGGCTGAGCTCACCACTTATTTCCCGAAACTTCTTCCTTTGTATTGCTCCGGCATCCCCAGTCCCCACCAGTCCCCATTCTACCATGGCAGCTCCCTCAGAGCAGCAGCCAGGCTTGGGCGACCCGGCAGCCAGCCTTCCTTGGCTCTGGCTCTTCCTTCCCCACCTCTGGGGAGGGGGCAGCTCCAGAAGGCAGCCCTACCTCACCTGCCTGTCCACCGTTCTCACTTCTAACTGGCCTCCAGGGTGGGGGCAGCACTGGCCCCAGGTGCTAGAGGTCAGGGCTGGGCCTCGTGTAGCCTTTCACCCCTAAGGTAGGCTCCTTTCTCTAAGGAAGCAGAGAGGAAGAAAGAAGGTGTGAGGAAACCCGCTTAGATGGGAGTTAGGACTCAAAGCTGTAGGTTCGGGCTGAGGGGGAGGGAGGCAGACTGCACACTCAGAAAGCTAAACTGGTGTCAGCTCCCTTCTCCTTTGTGCCAAATAAAAGATTAAATCAAAGGCCTCAGGTCGTGCTCTTTGGGGGAGCTGAGGGGTGAGGGGGTGAGGGACAACTCTCTATGCCTAAACGTTGGGCAGAATGCAGAGATGGGCCAGGAGTGACCTGGTAGCTAAGGCCAGACTCTCACATGGCCTAATCTGGGGGCCTCCCGGAGGCAAGGAGGCCCGGTCTGGCAGAAGAGGGTGGAGATCTGGAGAGGGGCCTACAGGGAAGGTGTGCAGAGAAGCTTGATCCCTGTCTCCTAATTGTCCCAACGGAATGAGGTCCCTGACCTCAGACACCATCTACGAAGAAGCTGAAGGATGAAATTAAACCACACAGATCAGGTTACTTCACATCGATCGCTGCCAACACTGGGATATGTCCACCTCTCCCTGCTCCTCGCAGCTGGCCACTACCGCCTGCCCATCTCCTCCCCTCTCGCCAGAAGGAAAGGTAATTGAGTTCAAATCTTCCTGGTGTCGGGAGGGGTTGCTTCAGCCACTAGCCAGGCCCTGTGCCCTCCCTCACCAAGTGGACTCCAGCCAGTACCCAGAAATGACCTGAGCCCTTCTGAGCACAGGGTGGAGGTGGGGCAGAGAACATGACACGACTGGACGCATGTGCCGAATTGCCCCCTCCAGCACAGACTTCCTGCCTGGGACCCCCTGAGATGTGACTGTTCCTCACGACCAGTGACGGATACTTGGCCCAAAGCATCCAGAAAGCACGAGGTCTGACAGGGTTATAGACTCAGCTTCAGATGGTAACCCCCATCACCCAAAACCTCAGAGGATGGCCCTTAACTGAAACAGAGAAATGCAGCCCAGTGAAGAGAAGGCAGGGGCCTTGATCAGAAACTCCGGCCTTGGCTCTAGCTCTTCACTATGGAATTTAGGCAAGTGAGTCCTCCCGCTCCAGCCATCTAAGTGGAGGAACTGTACCTACGTTGGGGGTCACTGTGAGTATTAAATGGCAGCAACGGGGGCCGGCTGCTGGTGCAGCCATATTGCAATGCTGAGATGTGGACCCACATGGTAAGGTCCTGGGTTTGTACCCCAAGGCTCCCCTGTACATGCCAGGCATACGTGTGCATGCCCGCGATCCAGGATGGCAGGCTGCCCATCCCCCATGGTATGAACCTGTTGGGGTTGCTTGCCTCTCTTGTAGAAGGAATAAAAAACTTTTAAAAAATGACAGACACCTGGGGCCAGCAGGTGGCATGGTAGTTAAAGGCACTGGACTCCCACATGGTCAAACATGGTTCAAGTCCCGGACCTGGCAGTTTGCCTTCTCACTTTCTCTCTCTCTCTCTCTCCCTCCCCCTGGTCAAATTAAAATAAAATTAAAATTAATGAATAAAGTTAAATAATTCTTTAAAAAAAAAATCAGGCATCTAAATGCCCAGAACAACACCTGGCACATAACAGGCGTTCAAATACTCGTAGAGGTTGAGTATCCCTAATCCAAAAATCCAAATGCTACAAATCCTCAAGTTTTCAAGGACTGTCACTACTCCATAGTGGAAAATTCCACACCTGACCATGTGATGATCAGAATGCTACAATACAAAAATATTGTAAAGAAGTCTGTATTGAGGGGGCCAGAAGATGGTGTAATGTTTACATTGTTGGACTCCCATGTAGTCAAATGTGGTTCAAGTACCAGACCTGGTGGCTTAAAACTCACTCTGGGCATCTGTGTGTGTGTATGCCCCCAATCCCAAGAAGAATCGAGAAGGGATTGTGCATGGCCAACCCCCCTGTGGGGTGGTTTCTCACTTTCTGTCTGTCTCTTTGTCAAGTGCACACATCCTATAGCAAAAATCTCTCTCTCAATTAAAAAAAAAAAAAAAAAGTCTGTATCGAGTCATGGACACGAGTCTCTGTTCGGCAGGATGGAAACTGTTAAAGCTGTCAGAACAAAGCCTACTGTGAGAGATTCCAAGTGAGATTTAGAAGACGAGAGTAAAACTGATTACTATGCTAGCCAACACTTGTTGCTACAGGATAAAAATAAGGACGACACACCCAAATACAGGATGATGGTTCATGTACCTAATGGAGACACCGCAAGGACAAGACCTACAGAGGCCAAGTGGGAGTGGCTGGAGATGCATATAATGTAGAACATGCTGATGGTCAGCCTGGTGTCTTCACCTGTCTGGATCCAGGTACCACTGGCAGTAAAGTTTTGGGGGCCCTGAAGGGAGCAGTGGATGGCAGCTTATCTATCCTCACGGTACCAAGTGATCCCCTGGATATGATTTTGAAAGCAAGACACTGAACGCAGAAGTATCAATACACCAGAAGTCCATGATGGGTCAGACTGTTGTGGATGATGTGCGTTACCTAATAGAAGATGATGAAGACGCTTACAAGAAATAATTCTCTCAATACATAAAAGAAAAATGTCACTCCAGATGTGATGGAGATGTATAAGAAAGCTCACACTGCTGGGGCCAGTAGGTAGCGTAGTGGTTGGGTTGCTAAACTCCTACAATGGCTGACTGCTGTTCATGTCTCAGACTGGGTGGCCTGCTTTCTCACTTTCCCTCTCTCTGGCCAAATTTAAAAATATATAATAATAATATTATTAAATAATTTTTTGAGAGTTTTTTTGCTACAGGGTGTGTGTGCTCGCCAGAGAGACAGAGACAGAGAGACAGCAAGAAATCACCCCCCCCAAGGGGGGATGGCCACCCTGCAATCCCTTCTCCATTCTCCTCTTGGGATCTTGGGCACACACGTACACACACCTGGCGTGAGTATAAGTCACCGGGTCTGGGACCCGAACCATAGTCAACTACATGGAAGTTCAGCAACACAGCCATTATGCTAACTGCTGGGCCATAAATAATTTTTAATGAAATAAAAGTTCTCTTAAGAATTATTTTACTTGGGAACCAGCAGTTAGCGTAATGGCTATGTTGCTGGCCTCCCACGTAGTCAACCGCGGTTCGCATCCTGGACCCGGTGGCTTAAAACTCACGCTGGGCACGTGTGCGTGCGTGCCCAAGATCCCAAGAGGAGAATGGAGGAGAAGGGATTGTGGCGTGGCCATCCCCCTGGGGGGTGATTTTTTGTTTTCTGTCTCTCTGGTGAGTGCATGCACCCTATAGCAAAAACCTCTCAAAAAAATTTATTATTTTACTTAATTTATTTTAATTTGACCAGAGAGTGGGATAGAGAGAAAGAGAGAGAAAGTGAGAAAGCAAGCCATCAGATCCTGAGAGAAGAATGGAGAAGGGATTGTGGCGTGGCCATCCCCCTGGGGGGTGATTTTTTGTTTTCTGTCTCTCTGGTGAGTGCATGCACCCTATAGCAAAAACCTCTCCAAAAAAAAAAAGTGGTCCTGGGCACACAAAATAAGGAGGGAGAGCCAAAGGCATCAGGGGGACCTATCTGCCCCTCCCTAGAGAGGGGCTCTCAGACTGGGTGGCCTCAACCAAATGATCCCAACTGAACTTTGTAGGATGACTGCCCTCGGCGTAGTCACGCCATTCCAGGTCAGACTCACACCCTTCCAACCCTGCCCACTCACGTTCCTTGCAGACACATTGGGACCCCTGAGCTAATTTATGATAGTTTTAGAGTGTGCCCCAGGAGCCCAAGAGACCTCTCAGAGGCTCCTGTGCCTTCAAGAGGGTCAGACTCTGCCCTCCCCACCACATCCCTTGAATCAGAATAGCTGTTTAAAATGTTTTATTTTTTATTTCAGTCTATTTCATACATTATATTTGTCTGAACAACAGCTTTTCATGTTTGAACAATTTTTAAAAAGAATCCCGACCTGCTGCGGGCCACGGTCCCCTGGGAACAGTGCTTGCTGCCCTCCCCCGGCAGGGCCCCCTGAAGCTTGAGGTGAGGACGAGGAAGGTGCTGGGGCAAAGGAGGAGGGAGGGCACAGAGGGCCCAGCAGCTCATGGCCGCCCTGGACCTTTGTGCTCAGGACGGAGTGGCATCCCAGAGGTATCCCTTCCTGTCACGGCCTGCGGGCCAGGCCTTGAACCTGCGCCCTCAGGAGCCCTGCACCTCCAGTTGGTCGCCCTGCAGGATGTGCTGCAGCAGCCCGTTGACCACGTCCAGGGTCTCGTCCTTCTCCAGCACGATGTCATAGGAGTCCATGTAGCGCTCCCGCCGCTCCTCTACCTGTCCAGGGCGAGGAGACGGGTCCCCAGACTGCCCTGCCCGCTTATGCTCATGGGGCTGGGGCTGGGGCTGGGGAGGAGGGCATTCAAGCCCCAGGAGTTCAAGGTTAGAGGCATCTGCCCTTCAGAGACACCGCTGGATTAACCCCAATTAACCCCGGGGTCAATGTCGAAAGGACAGTAATGAGGGTTATAAACAAGGCCAGATGCTACCCTAATCTGTCTGCACTGAATTTTTTGTCTTTTTTTTTTTTTTCTAGTTGCCAGAGGTTGTGTATACTCACTGGAGAGAGATCCAGAGAGAAAGAACGAAAGAAATCACCCTCTAGGGAAGACGGCCACGCTGCAATCCCTTTGCCTCCATTCTCCTTTCAGGATTTTGGGCATGCACACACACGTCTCGGGGTTTTTTCAACCTGCCTTGAATCACACAGTTGGCCATGTGGGACCCAGCCACCCTAACCACCATGCTACCAGCTGGATGGAGTTTTCATAAGCTCAAGTGGTCTGGTAGGCTCCTGCACCTGCTGGCCAAGGGGGGCCACCTGGCATGACCCCATACTTGTGCTCCTGATCTGCTGTTTTCATCTGTCAGTCTTGGGCCTGTTCTTGATATTTTTCTTCTCTCTGTTAAAAATCTGTCCTGGGGTCAGCAGGTGGCTAGGTAGTTAAGGATGCTGGACTCCCACATGGCCAACTACTGAGGTTCAAGTCCCAGAACTGATGGCTTTCTTTCTCTCTCACTCTGTTCCTCTCTGGTCAAATTAAAAGGAGTAAATAAAGTTAAATAAAATATATTTTAAAAAGTCTGTGTCTTGAATATCAGCACCTCATATCTCAATCATGCCTTCCAGATACGATTTAGGTCTAGTAATCAGCTTCATTGTTTCCTAAATTCTATCACTGGACAAGTTACTGAGCCTCCTTGCCTCAGTTTCTTAACCTGTAAAATGGGGACAACAGTTACTATCTCAAAGATTGCTAAAACGATTAAGTGGGTTCCTATCTGTGAACTGCTAGGACAGTGCCTGACCTGGTAAGCACTCAGTAAACAGGGGGGCAATGAAGTGCCCAGAACGACCTTCTTCAAACTCCTGTGTCCGGCGTGTGATGGACACACAGCTGTAATCACTGGGCATCTGTTTCCTAGGGGACTGTGCACCCAGAGTGAGTGTGGCTTATGGCTTCCCTCGGCGCCCCTAACAGTTCACGAAGTGTCTAGCACTTAGGTGTGCAGAGCAGTTGTTGACAAGAATTCAAGAAGAAAGCCACGATGAGAGGACGCCTGGGTCCCCTACCCACCTTGTCATTTAGGAAGCCAATCTTGAGAATATTCTGCACACCGGGAACACCATCAGCCATAGTGAGGTCCCCCATGGAGTCTCCAAGTAGGAGGATGTTGGTTTTGCCCTGAAGCTGCTGGAAGTAACTGGAGTTCTCACACACAGAGCTGTTCTTGTTGTAGGTGTGTATGAGCTGGCCCTTGAATCCCTGGAGGAAACCCTAAATAATCGAGATAAGAGACAGAGGGCTACAGGTACCCGAGTGGTGCTGGTTTCCCACTCTCTCTGGTGCAGAGGAAAGGGAATCCTGAAAGCTACCAAAAACAGCAAAAGTTCACTGCAGTCTACCAGGGGTCAGCAAGCAAGGACTTGTGGGCTGTATTTTTTGTTAATTTTGCCAGAGGGCATGTGTACTTGTAGGATGAGGGAAGAGAAAATAAGAAAGCAGCCTCTATGGGGAATGACCACACCACAATCCCATCTCCCTTTGTTTCTCCCTCCTTTCAGGATTTTGGGCATATTTTTTAAGCCACTAGGTCAGGGTCTCAAACTGTGCAGGTGGGCATGTGGGATCTGGCTGCCTTAGCCACCAGGCCACGGGCTGGCCCTGGATTGTTTCTGTAAATAAAGTTCACCAGCACACAGCCACACTCAGTGATGAACTCGCTGTCATTTTTGCAGTATCGCAGCAGCTGCAGCAGAGACCACATGGCCTACAAAGCCCAAGGTATTTACTAGAAGTCTGTAACCTCCAGTTTAGACACGGGCCAGCAAATCCTGTTGACCATGTGTCCTAGTGGAAACGAAGCCCATGACAGAAATGCTGTCCAGGTAACATGCGCGCTGGTGCTCAGTGATGAGACTCCAGCCACTGGTATTAAGGAGTAGTCAGAATGTGACTGAGTTGGTGCAGCTGCCCTCTCTGGGGCTAGAAACACAAAGCCCAAGCCCTTCAGTGCCCAGCATGGCACATGACCCATGACAGTGACAAGAGGCGGGCCTCACTTGGACACAAGGTACCCCATGGCAGAGTTGGCTGTCAACCAAACACCAAAGAGATCGTTTGAAAGTAAAGAAGCCAGCATGCCTGCCCTCCCTTTCTACGCCAGGGTAGGGGTGAGGCACAGATGAGAGCATCCTGCCTGGCGGTCCCCACCCTCTTCCTGGCTCAGCCCAAACAAGTTTGGCTCACGTCTTCATTAAAATCCATGTAGTTAGACACTATGTGGATATTGGGATAGAACACTTTCATCTGTCGGATGATTTCTTCCAGGATATCGCCAATGCCCGCCGAGAAGATGAAAAGAGGAATGTTGTTCTGGTAGAGTGTGTTGAAGAACGTCTTGTAGCCCTCCCTGAAAAGAGATCAATGATTTTGGAAATGGCACTGCCTCTGTTATCATTCATTCCTTTTTTCTTTCTTTTATTTTTCAAGTTGTTATAAAGTGCATGTGCTTACTAGAGACAGAGAAAGTGAGAATTACCCCGCGGGGGCGGGAGGGTGCACTTCTCCTCTATTCTCTACTCGGGATCTTGGGCACACGGGCACACACACAAGCTGGCATGTCTCACAAGCTACTGGGTTCAGGATTCAAACCACAGTCGGCCATATGGGATCCAGCTGCCTTAACCACCATGCTACCAGTTGGCCCAATGCTGACTCCTATTCTAGAAGCCCCTTCCTTCCTCTAGGAAAAAAATTCCAGCAGAGAGAGCTGCTTAGTGAAGGCCATTGATTTCCAAGGGTCCCAACCTAGCTCCCATGTCTGGATAAAGCAACTAGTTTGGCCTGCTGGTGGCATGGTATTTAAGATGGCTGGATCGGGCTAGCCAAAGTGGTGGTTAAGGTGGCTGGTTCCCACATGGCCAAATGCACAGTTCAAACCCTGAACTCAGCTTAAAAACAGGCTAGGTTGAGGCTGGCAGGTGGCGTGGTAGTTAAGAGCACTGGACTCCCATATGGCTGACTGCAGTTCGAGTCCCGGACCTGGCCACTTGTGCACTCACTCTCTCTCTCTCTCTCTCTCTTGCTCAGTCCCTCTCTGGTCAAAGGAAATAAATAAAGTTAAATAAAATAATTTAAAAAAAAATAAAAAAAGAAGAAAAGTAAAAGCAGCTAGGCAAGTGTGGGTGCCAAAAATCCCAAAATGGGAGAGGATGGGGGAGAGGGGTTGTGGCGTGACCATTCCCCATGAAAGGTGCTTTCTTTCTCATATTTCCTTTTCCATAGTCTCTCTCCAATCCACATATTTTGATTCTGGCAAAATTAAAAAGAAAGGAACCATCAGGTGGCATGGCAACTGAGGTGCTGGGCTCCCACGTGGCTGACCATGGTTCAAGTCCCAGACCTGGCAGCTCACTTTCTCACTTTCCTTCTCTCCTCTCTGGTCAAATGAAAAATAATAATAAATAAAATTTTAAAAATAATTATAAAAAAATTAAAAACAAACAAACAAAAAAGCACCAGTCATGTGGCAGCCCTCTGCAAGGCTGATCCACATAAAGAGTCTGGATTCATACCCAGAGGCCTCCCTTAGTATGCCAGGCATGTGTGGATCCATGATCTGGGACTGGCTGAGGCTGAAGATGAATCACAGTATCAGGACCCTATTGGGGGTGTTCTCTATCGCTCTTGCTCATGGAAGAAAATAAGTAACTAGATAGCTAGATAGAACATCAGACAGCGGAGGAACCCCAGTAGTCTTCTGCCATTGTGAAACGCGAGCTGGACTCTGCTAGTTCTAGGAGACAAAGCCTTACTCATTTTGCACCACATCCACTCCCAGCTCCTAGGAAGGGCGGGCAGTCTCTTGCTGTATCCACAGTGTAAAAGCAAGACCCTTTCCCATCAGTTGCTCACGTTGCCATGTTTCTTCTGATTCTTCTGCCAACAGACTCCTCTCCACTCCTCCCCAGCCTCCTCTTTGGGAGCAAACCAAGTTTCAAATAGTCCTGCAGCAGTGTTTTCCAGAGCGAGAAGCTCACCTGAGCATAGCATTGGACTCTCTAACCACCTGGGCAATCTGAAACTTCTGGATCTTCTGCTGACACAGGAGACTGTGTGCTTTGGTCCACCTAGAAATAGACGCAGATGCAAGTCACCTGAACTAAGGAAAGGATCCTTTCCCTGTATGAAGCCAAGGCCCCCGTGATGGCACAAGGGAGGGCTCATCCTCCTCCACAGAGCCATGTCCTGAAGGATTCTGGTGTCCTTAAAAGAAAGAGAGTAAGAAAGCACACAACGGAGAGGCAAGAGTCATGTAAGGCAACACTGGAGTCAGAGCTCGTTCTCGGTGACCCTGCTCTCTAGAGAACTGGGGCTCTGTCTGGTGACACTGGTTTTCTTAGGAGAGTTGCTGTGGCCTGAATAGTCCACCAATGTCCCAGTGTTGGAAATGGATCTCCAGCAGTGCTGGAAAGTGGGGCCCAAGGGGAGGTGTTAGGCTTATGTGACTACTGCTCCTGTGAATGAATTAGTGTTGATATTGTGGGAGCGGGTTCCTTACAAAACGCCAAGTTCAGCCCCTTCTTGCTCTCTCTCTGTCCATCCCTCTCTTTGCCTTTTTGCCATGGAACGATGAGGTAAGAAGGCCTGCATCAAATGCTGGCCCCTGATACTGGACTTCCAGCCTCCAGAATCATGAGCCAATTCCTTTCTGTTTATGATAAATCACCCAGTCTGGGATCTTTGTTATAGCAACATGTAATGGACTAAGACAACGGCCATGTCCCCAAAGCACTTACCCTTCCCCCCCA